AGCTTTCTACGATTTTTTAAAGTCTAAGCTGAAATTTCAAATCGCAATCAACTATTATCAAGAAAACTATTACTTATGATTTTGATGGGAGGACTTTTTTTATTCCCTTTATGATCCTGTGTTATTTTCATTTCTATCGATTTGCCTCTTAACGTTTCATTTTTTTTTTTTCATTTATTTCACTTGGTCTCTATCACTCATTATAATTCTTACGATGAGAGTGCTGAGAGTTAAATTACGAACTCTGTTAATTTTTTAAGGACTTTTATTTCAAAATTCTAAGAAATATTATTATTTTTATAAAAAAATTTTGGAATATATTATTTATTTTAGCAGAAACTATCAAAACATATGAAAAAATAAGTATAAAGATAATAAGATAATTTAACCTATTAATAAAACAATGAAATATTTATTTGGTAGAATTAATTTAATGCATTTTGGGAAGTTGGAAAGAGTGACGACTATGTAGTAATGTACTTTATCACAGGTATGTTATTTTCTTAAAAATATAAAGTATTTTATCAATCAGTAATATTTATGAATTTGGAAAAATTCTATTTAAACTATTCAACAATGCCGTGTACGGAAAAATATGGAAAATGAAGAGAAACACATCGATTTGAAATTCATGAACAAATGGAAAGAGTGATATGGTGTCTAATAGCTTAACCAAATTTCCATAGTAGAGATATTTTCGAAGATGAGCTGGCGGCGATTCAACTCTTGTAACCAGAAATAATAGTGGAAAAACCCATATATGTATCGGTCTTGCTGTCCTAGACTTGTCGAAAACTCTGGTGTATCGATTCCACTATGACTATATGGCTAGTGCTTTGAGTGAGCATTGTAAATTTATACACTGACCTGAATACTCTGGTGTATGACATCACTAATACCGACATTTGTGACGTCATGCGTTGAGATATTCATGAATTAAATACTTTCAATTTTGACGAATAAAATCAGTTCAATATTCCTAAAGCCAATAAGACAGTGGATGGAGTGATGAAAGATGAAAACAACGGTGAAATCATGTTGGAGTTTGTTGCACTCAGTAGTAAAATGTATAGCGTAGGAGATCAGAATAGAAATCCAATAAAAAAAAGGCGAAAGGTCTAAAGAGTTCCATATTGAAAGCTACGATCGTATTTGAAGAGTATGTCAAGTGTCTTCGTGAGAATGCGCTTTAAGTAGAGAGCAACAGATCATCAAATCTTGCCATCATCAGTTATGCAAGAAGAGACAGATAAATGTCGCGCTCAGTGCACATGATGACAATTGGTTCTTGCTTCCTGGTAACATCGACGCGCTTCCTTTGGGTCACTACGGTATTCCATTAGTGAAAAGGGAGGAGATAGAAGTATTGAGAATGGTCTCTGTCGAACCCCCAGCCACCGCTGCCGCCGCCGCTCCAACCGCCGCCACTGTAGCTCCAGTATTGGTTACCGCTATTGAGATACCGATGAATTCAGAGAAGAGAGCAGAGAATAAGGTGGGAGAAATGTTATATCAATCGCAACCACAGATTGTAATGCTCATGCTCGTCGAGAAACATTTCTTGACAGCAGTAATAGCAGCAGTAGCAGCATCCAATGAACAGTAACAGTCTTCTGATTATATTCTAAATTCAATTGCATCAAGGAAAGAAAATTTAATAGAATCTAGATTTGTCGCTAAAATTTCAAAGTTTAGTGATTGAAAGAAAAAACATTATTTACGTTCAAGGTAAATACAAATTATTCTACAAGTAAATTTTTTTCTACAAGATGAATCATTTTTACTAAACTTTTTTGTTTTACGGATGGATCTTACTCAACTAAATATTATTGCACGTGACGAATTTAAGCACATCAAAAAAATTAGTGAATTCACGAAAGGATGTAAATATATAATCACCAATGCAAAGCCAGATGCAACACGATTTGGTGACAAAATCATTGTTGAGATTGACGACGAATTTCAACTGTTTTTGTCATGCAAGCTGTCGAATACAATTACACGAAATCAAAAATTGTTGAATGATTTGATGGAAAACGCCATTAAACTTAATTTATTTATAAATTATCAAGGAGGAAATGGTATGAAATTTACAAGGAGAGTCCGGGAGGTGTCTCTCGCTGATTTTCGTGAAATTTTGCACATCAGTAGAATATCAAAAAATATTGAATAGATGAGTAGATAAGCAATGTATGTCCTGGGACACAAAGGAGCCGACAAAGGATACCGCCAATGCATAAGGGATATGTGTAGAAAACAATTTAAAACTCACCCACCGTTAATAGTAATAGACAGTTTAATAGTAATAGATAAAGCAAAACGACGCATTGATACAAGCTATCGTTGATGTACGTCTAGAGTTTGAAACAAAGAATACATATCACAGGGAACAGCTGCCGATTGTTTGATTTTGCATGATCGTGTGATTGAGTACAATCCTATTAGTGATAATGTTGTAAAACTTGTATAACTATACTTATCACGTGTAATAACTTTTTATGAAAAATAAATCAAACGTGTTTCTAAATACTGTATATTTTATCTTTGTTTTATTCATTTCAACTATGAGCATTGATGTGTTCAGATAGAAACTCGGTTGCTCTGAGAGTAATCATTGTCCACCTGATATAGGATATAAAATTATAGAGGAGAATTAGTGTGATTGAGAAAATAAATAACACTGTAATATCGGTACTGCTATTCATTCTAATGACGCTGTAAAGTTAAAAACTATACAACATATTCTTTCAGCGAAACATACAAATATACAAGACACTTTATGCAAATCAAAAATGTGTTTAGAAAAATTGAATGAATTAATTGATATTCGTTGAAAAAAGCGTGATATGAAATTAATAGAAGTTTACTTTGACATTAACAAGTTAAAATAATTACCTGACTCTACATTTTCTATACAATCAGAATCATCGGTTTTGCAATATAAGGCATCATATTTTTTCTTTTCAACCATTCTTTATCAGCATGGAGCAGAGTAATAGTGTATCATACGAGGTCTGTTTAAAAAGTATCGCGAATTTTGAATATCCGCGGGCTACGTAAATTTGATTTTTTGTTTTTTCATAGCGTTATGTTGGTACTCATGTTCCTTACTTATGCTGACAAGGTCGACTATTTTGAATGTTTAGTTAATTTTTGACAGCTGTTTTGCTTGGATGTGTTTTGGCTCGTCTTCAATTTTTGCCTATTTTAAAAAATGGATCAAAGAATCTGTATTAAATTTTGTATGAAAAACTAAATAAAGTGCGTGGACGCATTCCGAATGTTGACTGTGGCATATGGTGAAGCTACCTTGTATCAAAGCAACGTTCATCGGTAGTACTAAACGTTTTAAGAAGGCTGAGAAGATGTGAACGATGAACATATGCCGGACGCACGAGCACATCAACAACAGACGAAAACATTGATAAAGTGAAGAAAATAGTATTGACCAATCGTCGAATCACCGTTAGAGAAGTTACTAAGGATCTAAACATATGGATTGGCTTATGCCATTTGATTTTAACCAATGATTTGGGCATGAGTCGGATGGCTGCAAAATTCGTGCCAAAACTGCTCAATTTCAACCAAAAACAGCATCCCGTTAACATTGTTCAGGAGATGTTGGACTCGATCCGTGATGACACAAATGTGCTCCAGAGGATCATAATTGGTGATGAATCATGGGTTTATGGTTATGATGTGGAAAAAAAAGCTCAATCATCCCAATGGAAGCTGCCGCATGAGCCAAGACCGAAAAAAGCACGCCAAGTTCGGTCGAGCATGAAAATTTTGTTCACAGATTTCTTTGATTACAGGTGCGTGGTGTATCATAAGTTCTTGCCACAGAGTAGTAAGGTCAATAAGGAATGTTACCTGCAAGTTATTCACAATTTGCGCGAAGCAATCCGCCAGAAACGTCCAGATTTGTGGAAGAACCAAAACTGCACCATGATAACGCCCCTGCTCACACATCGTTGCTTATGCGCAAATATTTGGCCAAAAACAGTAATGGTGCCACAACTACCGTATTCTCCAGACCTGGTCTCCTGTGACTTTTTCCTTTTCCAAAACTGAAGAGGCCCATGAAAGGACGACGCTACGCCACGATTGAGGAGATAAAGATGGCATCGAAGGAGAAACTGAACAAAATCACAAAAAATGATTTTTTTAAGTACTTAGAGGATTGGAAAAAACGTTGGCACAAATGTATTATATCCAAGGGGGATTACTTTGAAGGAGATAAAATAGATATTCATGAATGAATAAATAATTTTTGAAAACATACAAAATTCGCGATAGTTTTTGAACAGACTTCGTACATACGTCTCTCTAACAATAGTTAAAGTTTAAACGATAAGAAAAAAATAAGTCCTCTCAGTGTAAATTATACACTGCAAAATTATTTAGCCAACACTAAATCCATATAACAATCAGAAGGATATAAAAAAATTTGAACTATATACATATAGCATGTTACTTTATACGAATAAATTATTATAATGTACATCAACTTGTTCCTCTACTGTTCAATGACATCCTTATTTTTTTAATAACGGGGTATGCGGCATCAGGCCTGCATATCGATACATAACAGATGCTAACAAGCGATGCCGGTGGAGGGGGGGGGGGGGGGTCATCGGTACACACACAAGATTTGGTAACAAGCGATACCGGTCAAGCAGATTGATCGTCGATAAATATCTGCCGATAAAGCAGCACGGGGCCTACAGGTCGACAACAGGTGATCGATAACGTTAACAATTACCGGTAAGAAAGGAGTTAATTCTCACAAGTTAAGTTAATCAGGATGCCCTTAACCCCTACTACTAATAAACTACTGCTACCGTCCAAAAAATAACTTAATCGCCTTAGGCTATTCATTCCTTTAAACTTATTTTGTCAATTAGTTAAGTTATTTAGGATTTTAGAAAATGTGTTTTTTTATTAAATGTGCCTTAGAACATGAATTAATAATAAACTATCAATTGTGCCATTTGCAGGGAAAGAAAAATTAGGAGTTCCTACAAATGAACTTGTCTCCTTAGTATTAGAATCCGATGGGACTCAGGTAGAAGATGGCGAATATTTCAAGACATTATCGAATAATACCATTCTACTTCTTTTACGCCAGGGAGAGCGATGGTGTCCAACTGGTGTCGACATTATTCAAGCTGGTAAAATTAAAAAGTTCTATATTCATAAATTTTATTTACTTTGGGTCAAAAAATAGTACTATTTTGTTTTGAACGATTAGACTATCATGCCTTAGATGGCATTACGCCTTTATCTATTTTTTTGTATGTAATGTTTTTTAACATGATTATTATTTGATTTTTGTTAGATGGATAAATGACTAAGGTTAGGTGTTGAAATTATTTAACTACTCAATTATGGAAAAAAGCCTTCATTGGTATAAAAAACCTATTTTATTGAATGAAAAATTGAACTGACACTGTAAAACTGAAGTTCTCGAAGGATTGATAAAAATTCACGGAGTTATGTTCCTTACTCACATACACTTACACACCGCGCAATACAATCACACAATGAAAAAACGTGACCGAGATACGTCTTGAAAGAGCCATGTACAGTGCCGGTCAGCCACTTTTACCCCCCCCCCCCCCCCCCACGGGCAAAATCAGTCTAACTTCAAAGTTTTATATCTCTGGTAGAAATTAACGTACAGAGACGCGCGTGGGTGCGTTTGAAAGGTCTTTCGGAGAGCTTTCAAATGATATGATTCACGGTTGCCATCGATTGTTTTTTTAAATTTTGCTACAATTATGCAAAATTGAAAATTCTGAAATTTTTTTATTATTTTTGACAACTAGCCAATTTTGGAAAAAAAATCGTACGAAAATTTGAAGTACACCATTTTTTAGCTACTACCAAGCCCTATCTGAATCACTCATCAAAAATTTATTTTCGTCAAATATGACGCGCGCACGGGCATTTTTTCCTGGAAGTGACAGTTTTTTTCAACATTTTTTATCTCCGTCAAATTGTAACAATCGAAAAAAATTTTATAGGAGAAAAAATGTTTGTTTTTTCACGTAGAATACTGCAATAATTTTTTTTTCGGTTTTTCGAAAAATTTTTTTTTTCGGTTTTTTTCAATTTTTTTTTCTCACAGTCGGTACGCTAAAAAGATGAGAAACCACAAAAAAAAATTTTTTTCCACCCATTCAATAATACTACATAACAAGTATCGTAAATTACATCAAAAAAAAAATCTTTTTTTTTTCGACCTTGAAAAATAATTTAAACCGAAAAAAAAAATTTTTCGAAAAACCGAAAAAAAAATTATTGCAGTATTCTACGTGAAAAAACAAACATTTTTTCTCCTATAAATTTTTTTTGATTGTTACAATTTGACGGAGATAAAAAATGTTGAAAAAAACTGTCACTTCCAGGAAAAAATGCCCGTGCGCGCGTCATATTTGACGAAAATAAATTTTTGATGAATGATTCAGATAGGGCTTGGTAATAGCTAAAAAATGGTGTACTTCAAATTTTCGTACGATTTTTTTTCCAAAATTGGCTAATTGTCAAAAATAATAAAAAAATTTCAGAATTTTCAATTTTGCATAATTGTTGCAAAATTTAAAAAAACAATCGATGGCAACCGTGAGTCATATCATTTGAAAGCTCTCCAAAATACCTTTCACACGCACCTAAGCGCGTCTCTGTACGTTAATTTCTACTAGAGATATAAAACTTTGAAGTTAGACTGATTTTGCCCGTGGGGGGGTAAAAGTGGCTGACCGGCACTGTATATTTTAAAAGGGTGCGAGTAAAGCTCCACAAAAGAGTTGAATGAAAAAAGACAGGAGATTAGCTATATAAACCAATTCCGCTTCTCATACGCCGAAAGGCGAGTAAAGATAACGAAAGCATGTGATGAAATTAGCCGACTGATTGCGATAATTCACCGTTTTATTTTTGTGTTTACTTTGAAATCGAAAGGGTTGCACAATACGTTGTTTTGTATCCTCACTTTTTGTAACTTGGGGGCACGAATGAATGTGAAACATTTAGTTTACGACAAGAAAACGTGTTCATGTGCTGAAAACCAGGACAGTACTCTTGCCAGATTGACGGGCAACCCTGTAGCGAGCGAGCAATTAGCGTCCGGCATACGCTCCCATCACCGGCGCTCCACTTACTCTTATATATAAATGCATTGAAAATTAAGAAATAACATGCGACGATGGAACAATTCAATAGTTATTATAATTATCAGTAATGGTAATAACATGGTATAATTTGTAATTGAGGTTTTCACAGGCTTTAATATTTGAAACTTTTATTCGCACTTTTTCAATATATACTTACAAGTTCTTCTGTTAGAAAATTAGAGCTTTAAAGCCAAAAATATAGTACTTAATATATCATTCATATTATATCGATTTATATTATTATTGAGATTATTGTTATTTTTTTATAATATTTCAAAGAGTACTCAGCCTCTGTATGTCGGGGATCTTGATCCCAATCACGAATGTTCCGCATTATAATCGCTTCCTACTATAACGTGATTTCCTAGTTTATTGAGAAAGCCTGTCCAGTTTCTTTTTGTAATAGTTGTAACGGTCCTATTTATGAGCTGTTATTAAATCATTGCAACTAGTCTAACGTATTAATATGTTTAGTCAAAACAATACATTAAGCGGCGCTAACTCACTGTTTACGCGACTGTATACAAATAAGAGTCGAGTCAAAACAAATAGCGTGACGTCACAAATAATAGACATAGATATAATGAATCATAACATTGAGAAAAATATGTTAATTATAGATAATTTGAATATAACAAAGTATCAATTATATAGATTTTAACATACAGATTCACAATACTTTATTCAATCATAAATTTATAACGAATATCGATATGTAAAGTTAATTTATTTATTAACATATAAAATATTAGAAAAATATAAATAATTTATGTGTAAAATGAATAAGCATAGAACATGAGTAAGAATTGGTTTCATTAATAACAGCTAAATAACAACTGTTATTAATAAATAAACAACAAATAATTTATTTAAACAATAAGCGATATATAGAACGAAAACATTAAGTTAATACTTGATAATGACAATTTTATGATTTAGAAATTTTAGATAATTAACCTAATAATCGCATATTAAGATTAAAAGAAAACCGTTACAAATATGAAAAATTAGTCATAATTCAAATGTTATTAATTAATTTAAATAATTAATTTTGGAAAATACTTCCAAAATTAATTAACTATAAAGTTATATGAAATTTTAATAATTTTCTATTGTAAATAATGTAATATCACGTTAATTAACTTTATTAGTTAATAACTTTTGACGACACTATTGGCGATAATTATATATAGTATAAAATCAACAAATAACCAGTTCTGTAAAATTTACATGTGTAAAAAACTTAATATTAATGGTTATTTACTTGTAAATGAAGAAAAATCATTTCTCAAAATTCGGGAATGTTTCTCGAATTTTCGATGAAATCTCTCCTGCAATAATAAGCGGGAAAATCTGTGTATAAATAGGCCCACCTTTGCACAGGCTAGATTCATTCACTTCTAGCCTTGCAAAGTGAGCGCATGAGTTTGAATAAACTTGGATCAACACCTAAGTTCTTTCTCTCATTGTGATTTACTAAGCAAGACTAACCTTTCCTTATAATTTGAGCTCGACTTATAGAACATCTCGCGCTATAAGAAACTTGGGCCGAATTATATCCTATCCAAGAAAGACTTTAGCTCTGCTTATGGGACAACTCGCACCATAAGAAACTAGGGCATTGTCTGACTTTCCTCGATATTTTATCATTACTTATATATATTTGATTTACTTAATTATTGTATTTGTCTCACTTAGCTATTTTCTTGAAATTAGAGTAAAATCATCGGAAACAAATTCTTACTCATTAGCTAAATTACGAGAGTTCGAATTATTTTTATTTATAAGTGATACGAACATCACATTTGGCGACCGTGACAGGACTCTTGTTACATTAGTTATTGTTAAGTATTTGTCATTTAGTTTATTAGTTTGTTTATTAGTTTGTAATTTTATTGTAAATTGTTATTATGCCGAAAAGAAATAAACATATGCGAGCAGTACTATGTAAGAATGCGTCATTGGAAAAAGAAATAAATGAACTACGTACATTGTATATGGAACTTGCGGAATCGTTTGTTAATTTAGGCAATAATTACAAAAAGAACATGAAATTGTTTGATACTAGTTTAAGAAATATGAGCTCTGATTTAAATCATTTGGCTGATACTGTAGAACATATGTTAGTATCTAGGCCTGCTCCAGGCGCATAAATTATATTATTATTTATAATAAATTTGATTACTGGGATATATAATTTGAATTTGTTCAATTATTTGTTAAATCCTATATATTATTGTGAGTTGATTGATTAGTATCACCTATATATATCATTTATTATTGATATAAGATTGATTGTTTGTTTTGGATTCTTTTTGTTGATATTACAATGTCAAACGAAAAACGTTCAATGTATAATTCTACGGAATGTGCTCCCGAAACAATTCTTAACGAACTTAGTGAATCACTAATTGGTGAAGAATTGACCGTGCAACAAAAAAGAACGCACGAATGGGAAAAAGCCGTAGTAGATGAATTAAAGACATTTCATACTGATCAATTTAAATTACAAAATGATTTTAAGACAATTTGTGAAACTATTAACAATTTAAGTAATAAAGTTGATAGATTAACGAATAAAATGGTTGAACAAGATCAAATAATTAAAAGTTTAGAATCAAATTTAGAAAAGTCAAATGAAATTATTGCTATTTTAAAAGATAGATGTGAAGATAATTTTAATGATATTGTTCGAGCGAAAAATAATGTTACTATGGAAATGAATGAAACATTTTCAGTACTTCGTGAGAATATTGATAAAATTAAAAATAATGAACAAAATAGATCAATTGTTAATGAAACTATTATTGAAACTATTAAGCAACCTGCTTTAACGTGTCCAGTTTTTGACGATAGTTATAAGTATCGACCAGTAAAATATTTAAATGATCTCAAACGTTATTTGCAAGCAAGTAATTATAATACTGCTCAATTGTTATGTTTGTTATCTCAATCTATGACGGGAGTAAATTCTTCTTGGTATGATTTAGTACAGC